TGCTTACCCTTGTCTTAAGTTGATCTAATCAGTCAACTCTCAAGATATTACAACAATCCATCAAAATAGTAGTATAGAAACATTGTTACATGTAACTAGTATGTAACCCGTGCGATGCACGGGCTGTATTTACTTTGGAGAATATTAAAAATTAAAATGTATTAATAAATAAAAGAGTGATAATTCGTAGGAAAATTATCAAACCATAGAATGTTCCTCGTGCAAAAAAATATATTATTTAAATTTTTTTGTACACAACATTATTTGTTCAATAACTGAGCAACTCGTCGTCCCCACAAATTAATATTTTCAACACTTTTCTATTATTTACATGTGAAACAAACAACATAATTGTCCGTGACTAAAAATTAATTTTTTTAAGAACATGCCAACGTACAATAAATGTTGACCTTGATTCTTCTTGATCTAATACTTAACATGTCAACGTACAATAAATGTTGACCTTGACTCTTCTTGACCTATTACTTACACAGGTAACAACATACATTTGGTCGTGATCAAAAAAAGATTTTTTTAAGAACATGTCAATGCACATCTCTTATGTATTACTTACACGTAAAAACAACAACATATAATCGGTCGTTGCTAAAAACCGATTTCTTTAATAATATGACAACGCACATAAAGACTGACCCTGATCTTAAATGAAACCCTAAGATTAGAAGTAACTGTGCTCTAGAACTTAAATGAAATCCTAAGATGGATCTTTTTATAATATGATAATTTACTTAGGCAGTCAGACAATGAGTTGTTAGTTTAATATCGATTATCCTTGATTAGCTATATAATATTCACTAATATTTCTATATTTTTTTATACAAAAAGACTGACCATGACTGTTAAATGGAACCCCAAAATCAGAAGGAACTGGTGCCGCTGGAACTTAAATGAAAGTCTAAGATGGATCTATTTATAATATGATAATTTATACAACAGTTGGGCAAATGAATTGGTGTATATCTACAAAAATACGTATGAATAATGCAAAACATTAAATATTACATCACACTTATTTTATGAGAGATATTATATATAGTAGATATAAAATATAAAACATTAGTGATTAGACATTACTTCAGGCTAATTTTTTCAAGCCGAACAATTTTTAATTGAATGTGTGACAACTTGTTATATATTTTCAAACTGAACAATTTTTAATTGGACAACTTTTCTATTATATGTGTGACAACTTTTTAGGTATTAAATTTATATATATATATATATATATATATATATATATATTTTGCAATAAATTTATATTTTGTGTATACAAAAACAAAAAATTGATTTACTATACAAAATTATGAAAATTTTCTTTTTAAAAACAATTGACAAAAAGAATACCAATAAAGAAAATTGGTGTATATCTCAAAAAAAAAAAATGATTTGTACATATCTCATATAAAATCGTTCATTTTTAAAATCTGCTACAATGAAAAATATATTTAAATATTAATATAAATATATTTAGATATTAATATAAATTTATATTTTGTAATTGTTGGTTTCAATAAGTATGATAAAATAACAAAGAATTCTCACAAATGAGAATTTCAAAATTGACGCCATGTAAATTTAAATATTACTATAAAATTATTTTTTTTTTTGTGCCTATGTAACATATATGCTAATCCAAATCAATGATTCTAATAAATCTGTTAAAATAAAAAAGAATCCTTGATAAATATATAAGAGTTCCAAAATTGGCTACATATAATTATTTACATAATCTTTGCCTACAAAACCACTATTAACGTAATTAAAGAAAAAAACCAAAAATTTACTAAAACAAACACAAACCGAAAATCGAGTTATATGAAAATTATTCAATTAATGATTTATTTTTATTTAGATCATTTTATATTATTTCCATCTATAGTAGGTAATTAATGTTTTGAGCGGAAAATGTTAAATGTTTGGGTATGAAAAAATCATATGTTATTAAAAACCTAATTGTAAACAACATTATTAGTTTGATTATTGGGCACACTACAATAAAATGATAAACTTCCAATGGAAATCTATTCCAAAAGAAATTATTCCAACGACAATTTCAACGGATATTAGAGAATATTTTTGAGTTACTATTTTTAGGAGATAATTAATGAAAGTGGAGGAAAATTATTTCTAAATTTAATTTATGTTACTTTCACGTAAATACTAATATATATATATATATATATAAATTATTTCTAACAATTATTAGAAATATGATTGATTCTTAAAAAGAATCTTTAATTGATAATTATTAATTAAATATTCTAAATTGTATTTTAAAATTTTTTAAAAATAAGTATGGTAAGTGTATTTCTTAAATTAAGTGTATTAAGTATGGTAAGTGTATTTCTTAGATTTATTTGGGACTAAAAGGCTTTGTTGTTGTTGTTGTTGTAAGTGTATTAAGTATGGTAAGTCTATTTCTTAGATTTATTTTGATTTTGATTCCATATTTTTGATTGTATTCCTAAAAAAAAATTGGATAAAAAAGGTATACTAATAAATAGAGATTTTTTAATTTACTATTTTTAGGCAATAATTAATGAAATTGGCGGGAAAGTATTTCTAAAAATGAATTATGTTAATCCTTATTATATATTAATAGATGTCAGTCATGTCTAAAAGTAAATATCATATTATCTGTACTCAAATTTCATATTTTAACATACAATACACATAAAAAATAAGATTTTTCGTAGCATGTATGGGAGAATCGAAACAGTTCCATACAGGAGAATCGATACAGTCCCATACGGGGAGTTAATCTTACTCTTTCAATAACTATACATACTTTCATATTTAAATATCATTATTTAACAAAAAATGCATTTTTGTATGACATTTCATATGCATTTGTGGAAAAAAAAAAATTAAAAAGGTTGTATAACAATTAGATAAACTAACAAATAACAAGTATAGAAACATATATAGTACAAATATTCTCAATTTATTTAAAATGGATTCCCTTCTATCTTAATATTTTGAACCACAATTGACTTCAATGGATGGTGATTCGTTACTATATTAATATAATAATCATGAATTTTTCAATTGTTTATTATTTCTCTAGTAGGAATATAATTTTCGATTACAATATAACAAATTGTTAAGCATAAACTTAATTAAAAAAAAAAAAAAA